AATCGCAATGTCCAGAGATCGCTGTCTGTCCATTTCGGTGACAAGTTGATCATAAAAGCAGTCATGTTGAAGATCATGTTTAGGTAATGAACCAATATTTAACTGGGGAGGGTTTGCTTCACAGCATCAGTTTCTGGAGTTACTGATCTAGAGTTTATCTGATTTCGGTGTCTGAAACAGAAAACCCAGAGTTTCCCTCATCTCTGGCTAACACACTCAGAGTTTTCACTAATTCTGCTTTCCGAAACAGATTTAGGACACTAGGTTCTTATCCACAGGTTATATCATTATAATTACTGTCACAACACATCATTTCAAGTATTTCACAATAACTTTTACATTTATATTCTTTTAATTTCGATGTTTTCATGGATGAAAGATGAATTTCAATTTGTTAAACAGTTGCTGGTGTATTGAATAATTTTGTTTTTGATCAGGAAATTGAAAATTGATCAGACTAAATATACTTATAAAATCACATTCTTAATTTATCATTTTTCTATGTTAAATGGAAATAGAGTGGTGATCTAAACAACTGATCGTTAACTGTAAATTAAAACATTGTTTTGCATGTATGTTAGTGGAAAGTAAAGTGAAAATCTGATGTACCATATACTGTTTTTTATTTGGAAATTTCTTTGAGACAGATGTGACATTCACTGAGAAGTAACTGTATGTGGAAAACAAAGAATTATCTGCCCACTGAATAGTTTTGAAGTGCCATTGTTTGCGACCTCTTAAAAGATCTTGTGGGTATTTCACCTAATTACCACAGGTGCATACGATCAGCTCTGAGAGCTCACTTTGCAACATTACAATTAATGATACCACTTCAGATTCATAATTACTCTGTGCAGGTCATTCTTGGTTTCAGCTATTACCCATAGGTTAGTTTGACTCTGTGCTGGCTCGCCATATAACGGCTTGAAAAACATTTGGCCTGATGCCAGACTTATTTGCCGACCCCTGCCCTAAACCAATCATTCCCCTGGACATTTCCCATGATACGATATCCCCATCTCATCATACAGTGGCCTATAAGCATGAGGAAATGGGATGTGTTGCGTTAAACAGGGGAAGAAAAACTGGCTTCATTATAACATGAAAAAGGGTGTTACATTTCTTGACACATAATTGATTCTCCAAGCTTTCAAAAAGGAGAATGGGTATTTAAAAGCTTTCCTCTCTATCTGAATTATACGCTGAACGATAAAACTCCATAACATAAAATAACCCCAGGACCTACTGTGATTGCAACAGCAAAACATGGAAATGGAAAGGCTTTTTCAGCTCACAGTTTCTATGTTTTTACACATAACCACCTGTCACAACTTGGTGTGAAATTAAAGTCTTGTCATGCACTTGTCAGCTGCTGAGAGGAGGCACACTTTGCGGCCCACACTCCTGCATTAAAAGCATAAAAGAGTCTCCCATGTAGCCACTTCTGCCTACTTAATGCCACACTATCAGTTCTTTGGTATTCAAATAAGCTCCTGCGTGCCGATGTGGATGTAACTTAATATCTTCGGGCCAAGAAAACTGCACAACCCTTTCCCTTTCTCAATTATTTTACCCCTTATTTACTGTACTTGTACAAAGGGATCCTACAGTAAAAGGCTACAGATGTATTATAAATACGGTATATACAATATACCAGAGTGGGTGGTACAACATGAAGGCCCACTCACCCATGAGAGCGCGTGTCACAAAGCAGGATAAACTGTGTGCGGGCCTGTGTTGTCAGCTTGGATTAGGGAGAGGGAAAAGCGATTTCTTTGGAATCAAAGTTCAATTATTAAAGTGACGCTGAACATAATCCTCACCCCTTGTCAAAAGCTAGGCTTTAGGTGTTAATCAAATGCTTCAAACAGATTGCAATGCAAAATAAACAGAGAGCTGCGTTTGTTAACTGTGTAAGACTATAATAGATAAATATTCTTCAAAGAAATCTGTGATCCAGCTCCAAAAACGCCACTGATGCCATTTTACATCAAAGACGACTATCTCTGCTCTGTGCGAGAGGTGTTTTTTATATGTTTTCCAAGGGTTCGCTGTGTTGAAAATATTGCGCTCACTTTACAAACAGCCCCTACGTAACCATAAAAAGCTCACTGGTCTCCTTTGCTGTAAGTGGAAGCTAATACAGGCATCGGACGTCAGGAAAAGACACTGTGTGAGGTCAATTTTAGTCAAAAATTATACTCCTTCTTGGGAGTCATAACTCAGATGTTACACAGGCATGAAACACACATCATCATTCAGTGTGACTTATACTTCCCAGGTATATCATTATCTCTAGTGTGTATCACGAAGAGATGCACAAATCTGCATGGAAATCACAGAAAATTCAGAACTTGCTTGAAAATCATCACATTTTTAAGTGTTCTTTAGTATCAAAGTAATTAGCTGTCTGTAGATCCATCCATCCAGGGACATTGCAAAATGGAACAGCAAATAGCTAATCTGGCACAATTTTAATGGCACTAACTTGCAAAAATGTAAACAAATATTGGCTAAGCAAAAGAGAACACTGGTAACTTTTATGGACTCATGCTCTCCTGGGGATTTTTTCTGTTCCCAAGTAGGCCCTTATGATGGTGTTAGCAAAAACATCTCAGGACGTCGATCCCGATGTGATTAAAATCATCCCATCTCCCCTAGAGAAATAAATCCAGTCCGAATGGGGCTTTAGTTTCTTATAAGGGTCCCATTAACTCATGTCATTGATACAGCATGCACAATAGCAACTCCTGGGATGTGGCACAGCGGAACAGAATGCAGCCATTAATTATGTAACACCTGTACTTTTCCAGCTATCAAAAGGACTTTTCTTCACAGTTAATACAACCTACATATGTTATTTCTATATTGTACAACTTATTTTAAATTTGAAAATTTAAACCAAATTCTCCTCCAGCTGAACAGAGGAGACACAGACACTAGTGGTGATGTCATCTAGAGCCCAATGTTAGAGCTTACAGTGAATAATGGAACAACTGATGGGACTCCTTGACAGCTGTCACAGTAATTACAATCCCTGATTCAGCTGAAGCCCACGTTCACATCAAACTGATTTATTATATCAGCCCACAGAGTTCAGTCACTAATATATCATGAATGGGTGAACTCCCAAAAGTGTCATCTGAAAGGCTGAGAGCTGAGAGCGCACAGCAGAGCTTGTTGTTACATTTATAGGCTGTTCTTGAAGCTAACTTGCTCACTGACTTCATTATTATCTAGTGCACTAGCGAGCAAGAGTGCACCCTAGCAAGCTAACATGCTAGCTCACCAACTGAAGGACTTCACTTGACTAGACAATTTACATAAGAGCAGAACATATGAAGCATAGTGTTAGTTCAAACAGAGCATTGAAGTCAGGCTCACATTGGCTGATTAGTAACATGCTTCAAGCTGTGTGGCTAGTACCATGATGATCACACATTGCCGTTTAATGCTGCAGCTTGTTCCCCCACTTCAAACTGTCATGGATTTTGGGTTTTAGCGGCATTATGTTCCTGTTTAGACTCTTCCTAGTGTGTGTGGTAGTGTCTATAATTCTGTGCCCCTGTGTTCTCTTTTAGGTTCTGTTGTTCTCTACTGCATTATGGAATACTTGTCCTTGTGTATTGTCACTAGCCTTACTTCCTGTTTTATTTCGCAATCATTGGTGTTTGTTTTTTGTCTAGCATTGTTTCCTGGTTGCCTTTATTGCTCATGTGTCTCACCTGTGACTTATTACCCTGCCTGCTTGTGCGTGTGTGTGTTCAACTAAGAATTGTGTTCATATATGTGTTTATTAAAGGTCCATAACAATGTTTCCAGTGGTGTTTAAAGACCTTAAAATAATAAACCGCTATGGTCAGTAAAGTGCAGGACTTGCAACTTGAGCGTTGTGTGTTTGATCCCACCTTGAGACTTTTCTTCAACAAATGTATTCTGCAGCGACTGTTTTTTAGGCTCATTACGGCATGCGCTGCATTGTTTGTGTTTCGGTGTTTGATCCTCATCCATCAACCTAGGGACGCATTTTCATTTCCCCAGTATCTTCATGCTGCCCCCTCCCCTCAAGACTCTCAAGATGATTGTCTATTTTGCCTGTGTGAAAAATGACAAATCAATACAGGCATCAGGCTTGGGTGTGTTCTAATGGAACAAAGCAAAAATGATTGCACCACTAATATGAATATTATTTCTAATTTTCTACTCTTTTTTCCATTAAAATGACAGATACAGTGGCTATTATGCAATCTACCATCCTTGTTCATTTAACCAATTATTTATCATTCAAAAATATGAAATAGAAGAAAAGATTCATCCAATTTCATATAATATCAGCATAATGTATTGTAATATGTATAACAGTGCATCTTAATGAAGTTTTGCATTCTTCTGGTTCCTAATTCGCCCTCCTCTATGAAAGCTGGATTGTGTTTGGATGAAAGATTGCCTGAGATTTATATACAGTTTGGACACATCTTGCAAGGTTTCTGATGAGAGAATCCTTTTGAAAAGAAGCATTATGCCCGAGAGGAGAATTCCTTATCCCAATAAGCCAATATCATACAAAATAAAACAGTGCTGACCATTATTTTATTCTTCAAATGCATGAGAAATGCATAGTCCCATGCTGAAAGACCTGGACATAAAATATATATTAACCACAATCCGATATTATTTTCTTTTCATAACTCTGTAGTGCTTTCTGTGCAAGTAGACTGCTTGATCACAGGCCAACAAGCCAATTGTAACCACCTAAATGACTCATTTGAAAAAAAGAAATCTAAGGTGTGAAAAATAATTATAAGACATTTGCAGCTCTACACTGCACATCTATAGCATAACAGAATAAACCCTTGATCTAAGCCCTGAAAACACTCTACACAGTGAATATCACTGTAAAATCCCCATATGCCATAACAGAGACTTCTATACCCAGTTGCTCTCATTACTGCTACTGCTTATTGCAAACACTTTTTTCTCTGCTCTGCGATCACAACTAGATACACCAAGATGAAGACAGCCACAAACATCTACATCTTCAATTTGGCTCTAGCTGACGCCTTGGCCACAAGCACACTGCCCTTCCAGAGCGCCAAATACCTCATGAACACCTGGCCGTTTGGGGAAGTCCTGTGCAAGCTCATTATTGCCATCGACTACTACAACATGTTCACCAGCATCCTTACACTTACCATGATGAGTGTGGACCGCTACATTGCCGTGTGCCACCCAGTTAGGGCTCTGGAGTTTCGGACAGCGGCCAAGGCTAAGATGATCAACGTGCTCATCTGGGTCCTGTCCTCTGCGATTGGGGTACCCATAATGATCATGGCTGTGACCAAAGTGGCAGATAATGGTGAGTTATTAGGTTTTGTTTTCTTCTAGTGTTTTATCTTTCATTATTCATTAAAGTCTTCATGTCTAGTAGGAGCATTAACTGTCTTAAACATCTGGGTGAGCCGATTCAACTGAATCTTTGCCAAAGTGCTAGATAACCGAACTCACAGTAGAAAAGACCTTTAACATGCTTTAATCTGCATAATTAGCATTTATTAGACCAAGCTTATGGTCCACAACACCTTCATAGCTCACAAGTAAGAATAGGCTGGTGATTATGAGCCCAGTCAGACCCATGACCCAGAATGAATCATTGTGGTTTCTCAGAGTGAGCAGAAAAGCGACAAACATTTAGACCGCTTGACCCAAAAACCCTCAATTGAAACCAAAAAGATTTCATTTTTATTAGAAGTTCAGGTTTCTTTTGGGGGAAACTGTACTACTTTTCCAACTCATTCTGAGTTACAAAATCTCAGATGTCTCTTTTATGTTAAGTTTTATGGCATGTTAAATGATTATCCTACAATTGTTCAATTCATCAATGTCTTTGGGATCAAGTCACAGAGACTGGTTTCAACTGGAAAAGCAGATTTGATTAAAGGCAGAGTGTATCTGTTTTTGACAGTAGTGCAGATTTCAAAATACTGCAATTAGCCTTTATTACTGTACCTATGGTTGACAGACAGGACCAGGGTAACAGGCATAGTACAATGAGTAACTTTAGCCAGAAATCTTCCATTGAAAGCACTAGCCGTGTGGGGATCAGACTGGGGGGCTAATTCCTTATCCAAAAAAATAATTTCTGCTCCTGAAGGCAAAGTGAACTGCAGCTAACACAGGTTGGCTTGAATTCACATTTTGGGTGAAGCTGCAGTCAAGGGAACGGTTTGGCTCACCAGTACCCCCACTGCTACCGGTGAGCATTGTCTTGGTCGGACCCGACAGGCAGCTAGGAAGTGCCCAAGCTGACCACAGTAAATGCACTCACCCAACTGTATCCTGCTCAGAGGGATTAAATTGGTAGGAGATAAATTAATGTGGAATCTCTGGAGGTGGAACCGGCAGGGCAAGCTGGCTGGGCTCAGCTGCAGCAGTAAGTTAATAAGGCGACTTAATGACTTGAATAGTTAATTGAGCGATTTGATTTATCATAGCTTGGTTGTTGTTAGGGAGGGTCAGGAGGAATTGTTCCAGGATTGTTCCTTGGCTGGAGATGGCTCTCTGAATCAAGGTCCGAGTCTGCTGGTCTGCTGGTCGATGGTGGCCAGACCATTCTGTTGTGCTGCTTAATCTTTCTGGACCCAAAAGTAGGACTCGGACAAAGACTCTTCAACTGTTCAAATGTATTCAGAGAGAGGAGGTTGAAGGACAGGATAAGAGTTTCACAATGGAAAATACTACACTGGATTACAAACTTGCCAATGCAGAAATTAGTGTGCCCTTTCTTTAGCTAAGCGTAAAGTAACCCCCTGGTCAAATACTGTATATGGACTCAAACACGAGAGGCGTGACAGACTGCAATTCCTTGTGAATGGCACCACTAAACAACATCCTGGCGCTGCCTACTGTAATTCAAGACTCAGAAGTTGTTTAATGGCACAACCTGGAGAAGTCAGAGAGCGCCAGAGAGCCTGGACGTGACAAATCAAAATCGTTTTGGTTCCCTTGGGAAATGGAGCTGTTTTCTGCAGCATCTCAACTATTTAAAAAAATCTGAAAATAAAGTGGGGGAGAACAAGATTGTTTCTGCCCATTCAGTAAGATATAATTTTAATGAACTATCAGATTTGGATCTGGAAAAACATTGATTAAGTACATTGATATAGTGGCAAAGGGAGTAAATTATGTGCTGAACATGCTCACAAGCTTCAGGCTCCTGAGACAAGCTGTTTAAATCTGCTACTTTAAGCATGTGTATATATATATATATATATAGTATGCAGCATCTGTCTACACCTGCTTGATAACCTTACATTAACAAAATCTTTGTAATTCTACCTGCCGTCTTTCCAGGTAAAATCATGTGCATGCTGAAGTTCCCTGACCCTGACTGGTACTGGGACACAGTGACAAAGATCTGCGTCTTCATCTTTGCTTTTGTGGTTCCTGTGATGGTCATCACCATCTGTTACGGCCTGATGATCCTGCGTCTGAGGAGTGTTCGTCTGCTCTCAGGCTCCAAGGAGAAAGACCGCAACATGCGCCGCATCACCCGCATGGTCCTGGTTGTGGTGGCGGCCTTCATCATCTGCTGGACCCCCATCCACATCTTCATCATTGTGAAGACCATGGTGGAGATTGACAGCAGGAACCCGTTTGTGATAGCCAGCTGGCACCTGTGCATCGCCTTAGGGTACACCAACAGCAGCCTCAACCCTGTCCTCTACGCATTTTTGGATGAAAACTTTAAGCGATGCTTCAGGGATTTCTGCCTTCCCTGTCGGACCCGTGTGGAGCAGCACAGTTTGAGAGGCCACAACACCACCAGGGAGCCGGTGTCCGTCTGCACTCCAACAGAAGCAGGGAAGAAGCCGGCATGACTAGGCATGGACTGGGTCCCCCACAGCTCTCGCTCGAGGAGGATCCAGCAAGATCTACAATCAGAGGTCACCCAGATCTCCACAACAGAGTTTTAAGAGATCTTTGCAAGAAAAAGCTATCTCTCAAAGAATTGAGTCATGCCACTTATTTTCTCCAATTTGGCTGACATTCTAGACATTTAAAGGACTAGCTAAAGATAATAGAAAAAAGTTTCACTCTGATCTTACTTTTCTATTAAAGTTCTGGTAACAAAGTGAAATCTGACACCTTGCAAAGTTAGTGACAGCAGATGGGGTGAAACTTTTTGATCATGCAAAAAGGACAAAGAAACACCTGCAGGTGTTTGTTATCAAGTAAAGAATGCAGACACCATCCATTCAGAGTGTATTGTAATAAAACAGACTGACACTGTCAGGGTTAAAAAGGGTGCAACAAAAGTGTGTGAAACACTGGTCTCTTCAATTCAGTTTGTTCTAAGCAACACCTTCCTGTACATTCAAGGTAACAAATGACATTTTTGTGATGAAGGAGCATTTTGAGGGAGAAAAACAACATCTTTTTTACTGTGTATTTAACATCAACACAACACAAATGAGACTTACAGAGCAGAACCACATGACGAATGAATTACGCCATAGTTTGTTGCGCAGCAAGATCAGCCACTCTACATCGAGAAGAAGGGAAATCTTGTTTTTAATTCAGCCAACATTTTTTATAGCAAAAAGAGACATTTGTTCTTTGTTTTTTCCCTTTAGCCTCTGCCATCAACCGCATTAGAAGAGAAGTGTCTGTCTCAATGTTCCATGGATTTGAAAGTATCTGTCATAAAGAACATGTAATCATAATGAAGCCTAATTTTTTTGTGCTCAGATGGAAAAAAATCCATGATAGCATCAAACTACTCAATCTTCACTGCAAAAACTAAAATCTAAGTAAGATTAATTAATTAAAGGCAAAATATACTTGTTTTTTGTCTGACAAGATATTTCTCTTATGTAAGAGAATTTCACACGTTTCAAGTTTTTCTGCCTTATGTAGAGAGTTATATTAAATATTCTTGTTCTGTTGGCAGATAATTTTGCTTATTTTAACTAATATTCCCCCCATTTTAAGGCTTTTCCCCTTGTTTTTGAGAGCTCACTTTTTGCAGTGTTGGATATCTAAGGACGTCTTTTCTGCTCACTTATTTGACTTTCATGGGTGGTGTCAACCCTGTAGAGAGCCTGTGAGCAGAATCACTAAAGAATGATGAACCTGCCATTGAAGAATGCTGTTGGCAGCCACAACACTTCAGTCATCTTATTGGTTCATTGATTAAAACAAATGTAAAGTGGAGGAACACACCGAAACTCCGAGAACAGCTTCATCACAGTGTAGATAAGATGCCTGTCCTGATGTCAACAAACAAACCGGTTCAAGGAAATTGATCTGCATTTTAAATGACATCGTGTATCTATTGGGGCAAAAATCTTATGAATAGCATTAACCAGAATGGTAATTCTTTCTGGGTCATTTATTTACTCCAACAGATCTTGACACCAATCAGATTGGAGACATCCATAAATGGATGCTGTGATGTTAATGACTCCACTGTGCATACCAGATGAGGTATGTCAGAGGTAATAATATGGAATTTGGAAATATGTGGAAATGTTTTGAAGGCTAAACACTGTGTTGACATGCAAACATGCCAGAATATGTTATAGTTTTGATCAATGTTGAAATGTGACGAATGTGGTAAATGTGGGACACATAAAACTCCAAACTGAATATAAATCCACAAAGATGAGGGTGTAAGGATAGAGGTTGTCGTCTGATGTACATATTGTATATTGAGGCATATTTGTGACACTGGGCTGTATAAATGAAATTGACTTGAAAAATGAAAGGAAAAAAGTCAATACATATGAATCTGTAGATAATATAAAGCTTTTGCATTTGAACAAATTTGGCTTCAGCCATTGTCAAAGTGACTTCAAGGTGTGCCTGTGATTCTGTATGCTTTCTTAAGACTTTTTGGATCTTAATATTTCACCACCATGCTTTTGACTCATGAGGCTCAAATGAATGAAAAAAAGAAAATAAGGTAAGGGTAGAACAATCAAAAGCTACTCTGTTTACAGGGTTGACTGTAGAGTTATCTACAGAGTCAGGGACAGAGACAATAAACATTGACTATTCTGAGCGCAGTAGGACACATTTTTGCAGTGTGATACATTACTACGTATTTTCTTACAATAACTGGTGATTTAAAGTGTACTGTGTATAACCACTCTCTGGTTGGTTTTCATCAAGTTCTGCATCTGTTGGGTGTGCAGGATATCTCTCAGCAACCATTATTTTTGCAAATTCAACTTACATATGGGCAGAATCAAAGTAATATACAGAGTTAGTTTTCAAAAACAGAATGAAAAGGGTGTGCAAGTTATTATGTTTTGACAAATGAACAAAAGCTAAATGATAAAACAATGTAATGAACAGTGTGCATTCAGGGTATTAGAAAAGTAAAAGTGCGTTGGTGTGTGTGTGCTTGATTTTGATTTTATTATCACGGGGGACTGCAAATTAGTTTCTGTAAAAGTGTTTACTTGTGTAATTTTTCATCACACTGTTTAAGGAGAATTTGCTCAATTGATACGTTGTCATTCTTTTAAATTCATATTGTTGGATACACTTAGTTACACAAAACATGTTGTGACTAATGCTGGTCTCCCGATGTTTCCCTAATGGCAACAGAGATTTTAAACTAGACTAAACTAACAGTCTAGTCCACAGGGTAGTATTAGAATGAAACCCTGCTTCATTAAATGTGGAAGAACAAACAATAACCGAACAAACAGTTACTGCCAAGCTGTAACATTTCCCACATCATCCCCTAAAACACAGGTTCTCCCTGGCAGCTCTTCATCTGGCAGCTCTTCATCACAATATTATGGAATGAAACAAAATGACAAAATTAATTATATTCATGAAGCCAGACCGCACTGTATGAAAACCAATTACTCAAATGTTTATTGTAATGAGCTTTACTTAGTGTAGTCGTGTGGCAAAATTGCCTCTGTCATAGAATCCTTTGTCAGATCTTTTCTGTTCTCAGGGCATCACTGGTCCTTTAAATTAAACTGAAAGTAGCTGACCAAACAATCTTCATATCTCAAACCACGTCAATGAGAAACTTCTACTGAACTAAAGACAGTCAGAAGCAGCACCAAGAGAAAGTGTCTGCCAAGCCACTAGGGCTGTCCCCGACTAAGGATTTACAAAGTCGAATCAAAATTTTCTGGTCCTGCCTATAGTCTACTGATAGTCCAATCCTGTGTGTTTCTGTGCGCGGTGATTGCGAGAGGGGAGGGGGGGGGGGGTTCCTCACTGTAACTCTACTTTAATCTTGCAGTCTCTATTCATTCAACTTACAATGTAAATTTCCAGCTAAACTGAGGCTTTTCTCTCTCTCTCTCTCTCTCTCTCTCTCTCTCTCTCTCTCTCTCTCTCGCCTGCCATTCACCAGTCTTGTGTGAGTTTTGCGTGCATGCCATACTGCCAACAACTACATGCATGTCGCGGTTCCTCGCAGGTCTATTTAAAGTAGCCGGCTATTTAAAAATGATAAAATATTCTTTGTGTGGTTCATCAACGGTGATAAATTATCCGAAAGTCCTGCAAGGCGCGGACAATTCGGCACAACACCAGTGAAGCTGGGGCTCCTCTCTTCAGCAAGTGTTCCTCTTCCGCCACCACACACACACACACACACACACTGTACGCCTACACATGCGCACATTTATTGAAATCTTTTTTGTTTTTACATGTTTATTTACAGCATTACACGTTGAAATGTATATTGTAATAAGCTGCATATTAACTTCTTGGGAGAAAACTGGTAGTTCTATGTAAAATCAGACATTGAGCACCCCCATATCACCAAAATGGCATGATCCTTGTTTCACTGCGAAGCTTCGACTGTGAGATTGACAGTCAAATCAGGCTCCGCCAGCACTACAAGCCACAAAAGGTTTATATGTTATAACATATCTGCAAAAATTATGAGTTTAGGCGCTCGACCTGAAGCACAAGACATGACCCATTAATAAACAACAAGGTAGGACATAAATGTAATATTTTTGGCGTGGTGATGGGAATGTTCCTGATGTGTACTGATGGGGCCTTGAACTACTGATTTTTTATTCGCGAATGAGTTGGCTCTATGAATGATGGGAGCCAGCTTAAATTCAAATCAGCATTCATTTGTAATTTCCACTGTAAAACCAGTACCACACACTGTATGATGAAGCTTGGGACTACAGTATGTTTTTGACTATGTTAAGCTCTCTAGCAGCTACCTTTCTAAAACTTCCTGACGATCCAATGACGATCCAAACATGAGCTTCCCACCGCTTTGTTTTTACTAATATATTTAAACATAGCTTAACCACACATTTAAAATGGGAAAACATCACAAAAGAAATTAATTCCAATTGGAATTGCCGCAATTAATGGATTCACTCACATGGGCAAAGGAGATCTGTGCAATTTCTTGCCGTTACATTTAAATATTGTGAGGTTTGACCTGCAAATTCCTGCCGTTGACCAATAGCAAGTTTTGATGGCACTGACCTTTGAGGGTCGAAGGCCTGACTACAAAATGTAGGAAGCTATTTTTGCTTATTAGCTTTGTTGCACCATTCAATTTTAACATCCTATGTCTGAGTAAATAAAATCAATGAAAGGAATGGTTTGACAAGTAGTAGTAGTATACAGGGGTTGATGGTACAAATACATCTTTTAAACTCATTGTCCTGTTAGTGACTGAGCTAAGCTAATGAGCTAATGACTTTGCTAACTGACTGTTAGTAAGCTTGCTAGCTGAGAGAGCTTTATTTTCCCTCTTCAATAACTTTTTATTGGACAAAATGGTGTACAGTGGTGAACAACATGCCAGAGGAACTAAATTAAAGTAGCAAGAAAATAGAGAGAAGCTCTGGGAGCTATTGTGGGCTTGCATGTTAGTGGATAGCACGACAGCTACAGCAATTCTCCCACTAGGCCTGTTAGCATAGTCACTGCGTCACCAAGACTCTAGAACCAAATATTTTGCAAAGAGAGAGAGAGATTAGGGCTCTACAAATAATTTACACCAAAATGTGTCTTGTAAATGACTGAAACCAAGACCAAGTTGTATTTCAAGGTCTAAAGGTTGTCTTACAGGTTCAGTTCTTCAAAAAAACTTCAGTTAATGTCAATGATCAGCCATCAATGTGATTTCTGGTAGTATTTCACTGATGGCACTATAATTCAGTCCTGGTTTGTCGTGTCTATTCATTAACTGTGGCTTATTTGGTTTTAAATACACCGTCTGAAACAGTGTACAAGTTATCTGGGATATAAGGAGATGGGAGGGAAGGGTGTGGGTGCCTGGTAATTGAGGTGAGGTTGCAGAGCTCAGGCTGTTGCTCAGACAAGTGCAGGAGGAGCCACAACTGATGAACAAAGTTTGTATTGATTGTGAATCGATGTTACTGAAGAGTTCGTATTACTGACTGCTCCTGTGATCCTTCATTCAGCTCTGATGTGCTTTTTGTATCTTTGTAATTTACCTTGCATTATTGTGAACTATTTTGTCATTTTTCTATTCGATATAAAACTGCTTAACACTGTAAACGGAATACTGAAAAGCCTGTGTGAATATAAATAACTGTATAGTAATTTGTGTAAGATGTTCATTTGTTGTATAGCCCCCGACTGCAGTACAGTGTGTAAGGCAATTGTGCTGATCATATTTGACACTAAACAAGTTCTTTTGCAGTGATAATATTTTACTTTTTAGCTTCTTCTGGTGCACTGTTGGATAAAAATATTTCTAATGCAGCAGCTGTGTTTCCTAACTCAAATTGTTGGCAACAATAAAGAAAAGAAAATGAAGATGAGAGAAAATTGCATGAGCTCTGTTTCTCTGTTTTGGTTTCCTGGAAACTACAGGAAATTGGATAGCATAATATTTTCTTGAAAATTGTTGGGCTCATAATGGAATAATCCATCTTGCATGACCATGATTCAATTTGAAAAGTGGAGAGTGCTTCAAAATAGTCTGTCATGACATTGCGCTCAGATGAACACACAAGAGATGGCCCAAGGCTTCTCTGAGTCCCAGAGTGTGCTTTCCACGGCTATCAGAAAATTAAACATCCAACTCTGCATGTCCTCTGCAAATTCAGACCAGCATCTTGCAGTCACCATGGAGACCGACAGCGCCAAATCCACAGAGTGCTCCAGTGAAAGAGCGGGTGAGTTTCAACGTAATTATGGAGGTTTCCTTCACCAGCAGCCACTTATCAATTATCCTGATTGCTTTATCCACAACAACAGAGAAGCCTCCCTGCAGATTAATCAAGGGTTGGCTACTTTAACAAGCAAGGGGAAGGTTCATATCCCTGATGTGATATTTACCAGTAGTTCAATATATGTATTTTAATATGCAGGATACTGTGGTGCTGCTGCTGTCATAATAACTCCCAAGATGCAGATGAACAACAATGTCTCCTAGAAATTACATGCTCCTAATTTGCAACAGCAAATATGTTTTGAGAGAAATTTAATTCCGCCTGAATTACCTTTTTTTTTTAACAACATAACTAGGAAACTTTTTTAATGAATTAATCTGCCAAGTCAAAATGTGCAAAAGCGTATGAAACATTGTTTTGTTTCTATTTAATTTGTTGATTGATTGTAGCATGTGTGGCACTAGGTGTTAGAAAATCTCCCTTGGGGAGTCTCCCGAATGTCATTACCCTCTCCCAGTTTCCTCCCGGGGTCACATTTCTCCCGATTTATGGTAAATGCTCCCAACTTTCTGTGCTTTCCATGATATTGCTGCGTATGCCTCGCATCTCTCTCTCTCCACTGACCACAAAGTTACTTGTCTCTGCTCGGACAAGTAGCATGCACGTAACTCACAAGAGAGCTCGTGATCTGGTGAAATTCAGGTGGAGGAAAGAAAATTTTGAGCAAATGATAGTATTTGCATCGCATTTTTTTGAAATGCATCCTCAGATCGGAATTGACGTGACGGTGGTGTCACTTTAGAGCAGCCTCTTCTGTGCTAGACAGAACAGCGGAGAACTAAAGAGCTCCTCAAAAGCCATTATTAAACATGTTGCACTTTGGGATTTCTATCTTCTTAGTTACAT